CGCCGGGGAGGGGAGGGGGGGAGTCAGCGCGCGCGAGAGGGAGCTTTTTCTCATGCTAATGAGCCCCCCCCCCCGGGCAGGACCTCTGGGAAGGTTCGCGCAAGGCAAAGGCTGGGGCAGGTGGCCGCTCCGCTCGCCCCAGCAGCCCCCTACAGACCGGAAATAGAGCCGCGAGGTCACGTGGTCGGCGAGTGGGATGCCGGCGTTAGAGAAGCCGGTGCGCGTCAGGGCAGGCCGGGCAAAGAGGAGGCGAGGAGGCGCTCGCGCCTTCTTCCTTCACGTGTTTGACGGACGCGAGGGAACAAAGGGGGGGGGGGGGGGGAGAGAGAGAGAGAGAAAAAAAAAATAGGGCGCAGCGAGGCGGCGGGGTTGGCCGCCTTCGAGGACACCCTCTTTTCCAGCATCCACTCTCGGGAAGCTTCGGTTGCCTTGTCTGGAAGTTTCTTCTCCTTTTTCCATTTTCCCAGGAAAAGTTTTGGAGCGAGGCGAGAAAAAAAGAAAAGAAAAGAGGAAGGCAGAAGAGAGGAGAAGGGGAAGGGAGGTTGAGGGGAGGGGAGGAAAAAAGAAAGTGGGAGATTAACCTTTGCCATCGCTCTTCATTCAAGGGGGCTCTGGGCTTTTGCCCAGCAGGTCGTCGCCCCGCCGAATCGGATTGGCTAAAACTTGTCACTGTAACTTTTTGGGGAATCTGGGTTTTGTTTTAAGTCTCGGGAGCGGGGTGAGGGGGAGGGGGGGAGAGGGTGTGTTAACGTGGGAACCCAGGCAAACTTCCGAGGAGACTCTTTATTAGGTGACAATCGTGGAGATGGTGCGCTTGTAGGGTCGCGGAAGGAGTCCCCTGACTTCTGCCTCAGGAAACCGCCCCCCCCCCTTCTTTTTGAAAGGGATTTATTCCTAAAGAGCAGGGCTGCAGGTTTTTATATATATATATATATATATAATAACAAGAAAAGGGGGAAAGGGCAAACGTTTTAATTTGTATGGGAGCGGTGGGGAGTGAACTAGATTGATCAGCCTTTTCTTCGCTTTCGGCAATGATGTCAAAGCCTTGGTCAGGCGGAAGGGAAGGGAAGGGAAGGGAAGGGAGGAAGGAAGGAAGGAAGGAAGGAAGGAAGGAAGGAAGGAAGGAAAGCCTGATTCTTCTATATTTTAACGAGGCTGCATATTCAAGCCAGGACTAATTAGAAGAATACCATTGGGAGTTAAATCACTTTTCCATCTTTCTTAGACTCCCCCCCCCATGAGTTTTTTCTTCTCTCACTGTGTGTGCGTGCGCGTTACATAAAAATTGCCAGCTGTAAACATCTGCCCCCTCTACTTAGTAGTGTTAAGAAAACACGGTACCCTACTCCCAAGAATTCCAGAGATGAAACCCGGGTCTTGCGAAAAGGCTAAAATTTTCCCGCCAATAAACGCAGGCTTCTCGGCCGCCCCTTACCTCCCTCCTTGGGTGCGCCAGGATTTCGGGGGAAATTCGACCAGAGGGGTGCAGGAACAACTTCAGAGCTCCGTAGGAAAATGTTTTGGCACTTACAGTGGATACCCCCCCCCTTTCTTCCCCCTCCCCGGTAAACCGCGACGTCCTTCCCACGGTCCGCTTTGATCTCTGCTCCTTGGATGCCTGCGGATATCCATTTCTTTCCCAACAAATGTAAAAAGATCGTTGTCCGTTTAAAAAAGGAGGGAAATTGGCAAGTTTCCTCGCTCTGATCAATAATCCAGCGGTGTAGGAATAAGTATGAAAAGATAGTGGGGACGATAAGTTGAACATTTGCTTTACAGAGGATGAATGATGGAGATATTATTGTTTATTATTATCATCATCATTATAATTATCATCATTTCGGTTTTGTTGACTGAGTTTGATCCTGAGTTAGAGCCTCATCGGACTGAATCCAAAACTTGGAATCCTTGACATGTAAGAGGTATTGGATTTGACTGCGTGGGGTTTGTGTCTGGAGTGGCACCATCTTCCCGGACTGGGTGCGTTAGGTCAGTTCAATAAACAGATTGGCAGTCCTTTCATTCCTACTTTGCCCTCCTCGGAGAGGGTGGATTTATTCCAATTCGGTCTTTGGGGAACAGAAATAACAGAAGAGGCTTTTTTTCTCCCGGATCTCTTATGTATCTCCCTTTTTTAGCGGCCCGTTCAAATAAATGCCAAAGTTCTTCTGAATTAATACATAAAAGGCCGGTCTAAAATAGAAATGGCTGTTTTTAAGAATCACAGGAGGGTAGCGAGGGAGTTTCCGCAAACTTCTGAAGGAGCGCCTTGCTACCTGGCCTAGGGAAAGATCTACCTTCTAGGGGAAATCAAGGGGAATCCTTACCTTCGTGCATTTTGAGAGGGAGGTGTTTCTGATGGATTACTTGCAGAATGATATTTGGGGAAACCACGTTCGGGCCAGACGGAAAATGGGGGAAACAGTTCACCTCTTTCCTCCCGCCATCGACTAAGGAAGCCATTCAGCCCAACGTCTGAATAGGTCCTTAAAGCAGGGATCAAGTGGCGTGCAGATTTTGCAGACAGGTGGAGATAATCCGACCCTCTACGATTCTGCAGCCCTTTTTATTTTCCTTTTTCAAATGGGAAATGGAAAGAAGAAAATACAACAACTCTTAAATTCTGCAGCTAGACTGATACGGAGCTTTTCCCTTGCAAATTTGGAAAAGACGTGACCCCAAAGATTGGATTTGCAGTGGTACGGGGCGGTTCAAAAGGGAGGGGGGGACGATTTGCCTCCCAATCAGATGGCAAGAGCAGGTTCGCCCCCTGGGCGAAGTTTGCAGCCCAGCCCCGGGATCAGGGCCCTCGATCCGACGGGCTGTCGCCGGCCACTCTAGGAAGCGCCGCTGAGCCTTGCGGGAGGCGCTGCTTCAGCGGACACTTCGGAAGCAGTTTATCTTAGCCCGGCGCGAGTAAAAGTCCGCTCTCGGATCCGCCTCGCATTTGTTTCGGTTTCCTTCGATAGGAAGGAGAACGGGGGATGGAGCGCGCGCTCCCGAAGAGCTTTCGCGGCTTCGGAGCGAGGGTGATGCTGGCGGAGAGTCCAGCCAGAGACACCCCACCCCCACCCCCTCCCTTCGGGAAGCTGTGCATCTGCCGCCCGGATCGTGCAGCTCAACCCCGAGAAGTGGACATTTTCCGCGTGCCTGTCTGTGTGCTGCATATACTGATCTCGTGTCAAAGTTGCCCGTTAGAGAAGAAAGGGAGAACGGGAGAAAAAAAGGCGAAAAGATGGCCAGCAAAGGTCCCAGTTCCTTCATTCCAGTTCAGTACCTCTAATCCCCTGGGTTTTTTGTTTGTTTGTTTATTTATTTTTTGGTATTTTTAGGCTTTCGCCAGTAAACGGTTGTTTCCCCGCGCACCCTTCTCCCTCTCTCTTTCATATATACAAACACACATACTGATGTGCCTACAAAGCAGCTTTTTGATTAACCAAATATAAGAGCATTGGTTAAGAACACATTTTAAGTTTCGTGTGTGTTTGTGTGTGTTTTTAAAGGTTCCCCTGGGAATATGGACTCGGAATTGGTTAATAATGTGCAATACTTGCTAAATTGCTGACTTCCAGATGTTGTGAGGGGGGCTGAAGGAAAAACAGAAAAGAAATATCTTTCTTGTTTAAGACCTACATAACCTGATTGGATTAGGACAGGCACGTCATATTGGGAACCTTTTTTGAGTGATGATTTAATTAACCATACAGTCGAAAGCTGTATTCTCTAGGACATCCCAGTCCGATTTGCATAGCCAATCCTTACAGTGCAAAGGTGGAGTCTAAAGGCCTAATTTTCATGTAAAAAAAAAAAAAGCTTCCCCAAAGTCCCCCCAAATACACATACTAAACTTGTTGCCTCTAGGAGCCATAGCTCAAATCTATATCTATCAAAGTGTGTGTATGCATATAGATATGCATATGCATATACATACATATATTGGTATAGTATAGTATAGTATAGTATAGTATAGTATAGTATAGTATAGTATAGTATAGTATAGTATAGTATAGTATAGTATAGTATAATATTGTATAGTATAAGTAAGGCATAGGCATAGCATAACAAGAGATGCATGTGTGTGTGTGTGTATATATAGGTGGAGGAGGTGTGTGCAGTGCATGTATGTTTCTGTGTGTATACTATTCAACAAATTCGCCTAACCTGCAAGGTTCACTTCTAAAAAAAACCCTCCTCAAATCTCCCCTTATTCTTATGTAACTCATATGCCATTGAATGTTCCTTATGAGCCTTCTTTACACTGCTCTTTCTCATACAGAGTGAGGCCCTATCTCTTTGCAAAGATATGCTGAGGGGTGGGGGGAGAGGGAGGAAATTAATGAATTCCTGAATACTAAGGAAAAAAAATCTTAATTTCTCTATTCTACCAAGAGAGAGGGTTGATTTTAATACCCAAACACAGATCACTCTCTAAACTATCTCCATTTGGAAGCAGGTCCCTTGGATTCAGAAGGCTTTACTTCCAAGTAAGACTGCATAGGATCAAAGGCTCCGTGTACAGAGGTAAAATAAAGAATTAGACGAGGGTCGGAAAGAGGCACGGAATTCAGGGGTCACTTGTTCCCTTCCTTGCCATTATCCTTGCCACCCCCACCCCCCATTATCAAATAGTCTCGTCCCCCCTCCCCTTCGTTCCCCAGAAATCTTGTTGGGTTTGTGCTGCGTGCTCCCGAGCCTGGGTATCGCGGAGGAGCATCTTCGAAGGCCTCGCCGGGGTGGGGAGATGGGACTCTTTAAGCCCCAAGGTGGCTCCGCGGTAACTTTCAGCTCCTTGGAGTTGTGGCGAGTTCTGGCGAATGGGGCTTCGCCGCTTTCCGCCTTGCATCCAGTAGGATTTAGTAGGGAGGATAATGATGCCAAAGGCTTGATGGCTGGGGAGGGAGGGAGGGAGGGAAGGAGGCAGGGCAGGGAGGGAGAGAGGGAGGGTGGGTGGAAAAGAGGGAGGGAAGCACGGAGGGAGGGAGGGAGGTGGAATTGCATTTCTTCCACTAAAGCGTTTGCGGAGACTTCAAGGTATAATCTATCCCAGATCCTTCCTTTCCCAGAGAGAAACTTGGCGATCACGTTTCCACATGATGCTCACGTTTGGTGCTCTTCAATTATCCCTCGCCACAAAGATAGGTGGCGTGTGTTTCAGGGTCCTCTCTCCTCTCTCTCCGACAGAAAAGAAAAAGAAAAAAATGCCATTAGAAGAGGCGTAACACGTCAGTCCGTCCCCAGGTTTGTGTTTCCTGGAGTGGCAGAAAGAGATCAGTCCTAACCTGCCCAGCAGGAATAACGGTCCCTCCCGACAACTCTTTGAGAAGCCTCTGACCATCCTCCCCTCCCTCCGCCAGCTACAGCTCCCTGCACCTTTTTTTTCCCTTTTTTTTTTTCTTTTTCCCCTTCTTCACTCCGCGGCTTTTTCATGCTTCTTCTTCTCTTCACTGCTGGCCAAAACTACAAACAAGACTTCGCAGGTACGTTCTCCGATATATTTTTTCTTTCTCTTCTTTTTGCTCCCACTCCCTTTTTCCTTCGTATTTTCTCTTTCTCCCCTCTGATTTTACACAATTGCTGGCTTGGGGGGGGGGGTGTTCTGTTTTCCTTGTCTGTAGCTGGGGAGGAAGTGGTGATGAGGGGAGAGGATTTTCATTCCCCCCCCCTCTAGAAATCTATACTCATTTGAGTTCCTCTGAAAACAAAAATAAAGCAGTCGGAATCTTGTTCTTCGAAGATTATCTAGGGAGGAAATCGGTTTTTCTTCCATCCCTACACCTGGCTAACCAGGTAAAAAAAGTTATTTCTTCCCCTCTGTGGGCGAGTGTGGATATCTGTATTTTACAGTTTTCAGTGGAAGACAAGGGAAAAAAGTTCTAGTTTCCAAATTTAGGTCTCTTTTGGGCAAGGATTATTCTGGCTTTCCTTCAGGTTCGCATTTACACATCTTAAAGTTTACACATACCTGTTAATGATTTTCAAGCTGTGAGTAAGTACAGCATAGCCATGGCTGGATAATAAGATGGTAACTGAGTTTTGCTTTGAAAGGGACTCCTAGCAAACATTATTATGATTATTATGGTGATGATTATTCCTTCTGCTTAGTCAGTTTCATTTCTTGCTTTTATTTTCTGACTTGGGTGAAGTAACAATTCAGCTTCTGGGATTCTTACCCAGAAGTGAAAGTAGTGACTGGAACTAGTTTGAAAGTCATTTAGAGGGGTGGGAAATGAGATAACCTAGGAAGAGACATGAGGACGAAATTTTCCAAAATACTGGCTACTTTAAAAAAATATATATTTTTAAATATCCAAGAAAGGTAGGTAGTCCCTGACAAACATTGAGGTCGATTTTGACTCTGCTGTTTTCTTCCCCGATTTTGCCACCAACTCAAGAAATCTATCAGGGCGCTGCTGGTTAGTTTTGCTTTGAATAATTTGCTCGCTTCCTCCCCGGCTTGGGTTTTTTTTTCTTTTTCTTTTTCTTTTTTTTGAAACCCTTAGCAGAGAAGGGCAAACTCTGTAGAGTTACAAGTCTCCAGCCACAAGGCTCGGAGCGTCTCTATTCGGTCATTCGCTCACACTTTAGTGCGAGGCTCAAGATGGGCGAGACAGGCAAGTCCAGGGCGCTGGACTGACTTTTCCTGGGCCAGTTGGCGCTTTACCTGCACCGCCATCAGGGATTCTTTTCAAGATAAGCTTCCAAATTGTTCCCCTGCGCTGCGAGATTTTTATTTTTTATTTTTAAACGGTTAAAAAACAACAACAACCGATAAGGGAGCAGCCACCTTAGAAGAAAGAGGAGTGAAATCATCCCTCGCCTGAAAACCTGTAAAGTTTTTTTTGTTCCGAGCAGTCCACGTTACTCCCAAGTAAACTTGGGGGACTTACTGTCACGCGAAGGCGCAGAGAGGATGCCGCGAAGCCAGCCCGAGCGTCCATTTTTAGGCGGCCAAAGAGCCCTGTAAATATGGGAAGGGCAGACAAAAGACGAGGTGAGGATGAATTCGGTTCAGGAGATCAAGGGTTAATCGCCCTTGTTTTACAGATTGCATCTGTTACATCTTTTATGGTTGCCCGCCCCCCCCCCTTCCCCCCCCCCCCCCCTCCCTATCCCACCAACCCCGCAGCCCCGGCTAAACTAATCCTCCAGTCGGTGCAGCGTGCGCGGTTGTTTGTTTGTTGTTGTTTTGTGTGCGGGTGTGTGTGTGTGTGCGGGTGTGTGTGCGGGTGTGCGTGAGCGCGCGTGTGTTAAAGGTACAGCCTAGCCTCCCAACCCTAGCCGTGTGGGTTTCCCCAGTTTTTGACAAGCTCGACCTCGGCTCCGGTTCGCGGCCAGCTCAGCCCAGCCGCCGTGCGCCCCTGGACGAGCCCGCCCGCCTTCGACCGCAGCTCGAACGCGCGCGAGCCCCGGGAAAGCGATGGTGCCGGCGGAAGAGTTGGACGCTCCGGTCGCTCTTCCTCCTCCTCCTCCTCCTCCTCCTCCTCCTTCTCTCTTCCCCTCCCCCCTTTCCAAGGTTCCTTCTGGAGGAGAGCTGAAATGACATACGGGGGAGGGGGGGTTGGGGGGGACTTGAGTGGGGGGGGGGGAAGGAAAGAAAGAGACCGAGAGATCCTGTGCTGGATATGATCGGCGTGACTTTAAAAGTGAGAGAAACCAGCGGGGAGGGGAGGGTATGCGGGATAGCCAAGCGACAACCGCTTGTGTGGCTCTTATCAGTTGATAGCCATGTGCGTGATATGTATTCTGTGCGCCACAGCATATGCAAAGTAGGTACAGCGTGGAGATCCTGAGTACTTTTTCGGAAGAAACGAATCCGCCCAGCCATTTGAGTCAAGCTATCTTTCTGTTTGGAGGGGGGGGGGGGGGGTGGGGGGGGGGGGTTGGAAGAGAGCGAGCGAGCGAGAGAAATTAACCTCGAGTGCATTCCCCTATAGGTCATGAGTCATTTTGAAGATGTAGCGGTTGCGTGTATGTATTTATGTGGGCCTCTCTCTCTCTCTCTCTGATCTCCTTTGCCGGTGGAGGAATAATAATCACGCTAATAACGTTAATAAACAAACAAGCAAATAAAGCAGCGCCATGGCGCGGGGGGAAGAAGGAGCGAAGAGGAAAGCTGCCCCCGTTCTTCTGGAGGGAAGCGAGGCCAGCGCTCGGCTCGGGGGTCGGGGGCTGCTCCGCCCGGGCCGCGTCCGTGGCCGCTGCTGGGCAAGGGGGTCTCCTTCCGTGCGGGGGAAGTGGGGGAATCGCCGCTCCGTGGGTTCCCTTTGGCGCCCTGCGTTTGAACGGGATCTCGCCATGCCCACCCGGTTCCCTCTGTTTGGTTGTTCCATAGAGTCTGCGTGTTGCTGAATCAGAGAGCCGAGTCCATGCGAACGAGCCATCTGATCCCCTCTTATCAATGAAGCAGCAGATCATGGCGGATGGCCCCAGGTGTAAGAGGCGAAAACAAGCCAACCCAAGAAGGAAAAACGGTAAGGGGGAAGCCGGAGGGGGAGGAAGGAGAGCGGGGCTCGGGGCCGGGCGCGGAACCTTCCGTCAAACTTTTCTTTCTTTTGTGATTTTTCTTGGCTTCTTCTTTTTTTACTTTTGGTCCCGGCGACTTCACTTTGAGAGAAAGAGGACTCGACAGGGGGGGGGAGGGAAGGGACAAGGAGGGCGATTGGGGAGGAGGAGGGGGCTGGGAGGAGGGGGGAGTCCAGGACCAGAGGAACCCCCCACCACACTCCCCTTTACGGCCGAACCCTGGATTTTGGACTGGCGCCTGGCGAAGGCTTGTTCGGTGGCGGAGAAAAGGGAGAGGAGCGCCCGAAGAGAAAGAAAGAGGAAGGGCTCGCTCGGCTTGTTGTCTGTTTGCTGAAGAACAGCGGCGGGTAGGGGGGGGGGCGGTTGAAGGGAGTCCAGCGAGGGTGAGTGTCAGGGGATCCCGAGGCGTTTCTATTCCGGTATGTGTGCCTGAGCGCCCCCCCCTCCCTCCCTCGAGTGCCTTAGGATCCCTCCTTATAACATTAGTATTTTTCTCCCCCCGCCGCCGCGCGCCTTTTCCTTTCCTTTGGAGAAGTCCAATCAAACTAGGCAGGAAAAGATCTCGGGGTTTTTTTTTTTTTCTTGGAGGGCAGATTCTTTCAGAAAGGAAGTGGGGACTCCAGGCGCTTAGGGAGAAAGAACTGGGGAGGGGAGAGATCCCCCCTCCTCTCCTTCTTAAAGCTGGGGGGGGGGAGGAAGAGAGAGAGAGAGAAGAGAGAGAGAAGAGCTGAAAGTTTCTCGCCTGCAGCCTAGAGCGAATCAGCTAACGGTCCTGACTGCTCGGCTCCCGAGCCGGCGAGATCGCCCAGGAAGACCCGTTAGATCCCTCCCTGCCTTTCCGCCTCTCTCGCCAGGCTTTCTTCGCCCTCGGGCCCGCCGTTGTCTCTTCCTGCTTTTCCTTTGATCCCTGCTTTCCCTGCCACAGTCGTCGCTCATCCAAAGCCGCCCCCCCCGCCACCTCCCCCACCCCGCTTTCTTTCTCACACACAAGAAAAGCGAGCATGAAAAAGAAAAGGGAGAAAAGGGGGGGGAGGCACTTTTGAACACGTCCAGGACTTTTCACGTTGTCATGATCAGCCCCTGCCATGGATCCCTCTGTGTGTGTGTGTGTGTGTGTGTGTGTGTGTGTGTGTGTGTGTGTGTGTGTAGGGGGGGTTCTGGCAGAGATTAGGGAAAAGAGGGGGTGGATTGGAAGAGATTTTTTAACAGCTTCATTAAAAAAAAAACACACACACACACAGGAAAACCCAAACCGCTAAGTCAGAGGCTGGGAAAAGCGGGGCGGGGAAGACCGAAGGGACAGCAGCGTGAGAAATTTTGATCTGAACTGGCGGAAGAGTTTACTTGGGGCTTAAACGTTAGCCCTCCCTTCGCCAAGGAAACCTCTCCGTAGACAGCAGTCATGAGAATGGGGAACGTAACGCTTGGGGAGTGTGATTTATCCAGGTTGCCCTCTCTTGTTATCTCCGCAGCCTTTGGAGAAACTTGGGGGGAAGGTTAGGTTCACTAAAATACGCTTCTATGGTGGATTTTTGACTTTTCCCAATTCTCTTGCTGGGGGTGGGGGGGCGTCCGTTTTTCCCTAGCCTCTGCCTTTTCTCTTTGGCTCACAGCTTCCAGACTTCTCCCCGTCTCCTAACACACTCACTCACACAGAGATAGGAGGGAGGGAGAGGGAGAGAGACGCTTCCATCCCAACTCAGTGTCTCTGGAGTAATCCGTGTGATCTTGCCTAGCTCTTAAGAGTTGGAGCAACTTTTCTTTAGAAAAAGAGATGGGGGGGGAGGGTATCCATTGGAATCACCCGGTCTTTGCAAACCCGAATCGGTTAGCTTTTCAGGCAGCCCGACTTCGAAAACGGGAGGTGGGGGGGAGGAGGAGAAAGGAGAATTAAAATACAACAAGGCGTGTGGATTCCAAACAAACAAACGCTTGCTGTGTTGGGTGGCTTTCTGAGTTTCTCTCTCTCTCTCTCTCTCTCTCTCTCTCTCTCTCTCTCTCTCTCTGCTGCCGGGTGACGAGCCATATGGGGGAGTGATGGGGACTTTTAGATTCAGAAACTCTCGGTTAAGTAAGTTGCACGACGAAGAGCTGCTATTTCTTCCCGCCCCCATTTCATGTTGCCTTTGATCTCCTTCTTAGGGTACTTTCTGGGGAGAGGAAAAACAACCCCCGAAGGAGTCCCTTGCAGCCCGGCTGAATGGGTTCCTCCAGGCTTAAGGGTAGACCTTCTTTAAGGTGGTCTGGCCAGAGAGGAAGCCTCTTCCTTCTCTACCTACCTCTCCCTCATCTGCTGTCTGAGAGGGCCAGGGCCCTTGGGAAGGCTTCCCTCACCTCTCTACTCCTCCGCCTGTTCTTTCCTTTGCTGATGATGAAACGCTGCTTATTGATTGGCTTCAAATCAGCGCGGATCTGTAGGACTCTCCTTCCCCTCCCCCTTGACAGAAGGACAGAAGATGATGCTGGTCAGATCTCTGGGTCAAGATAGATGTTTTTTCTCCCCCCTCCCTTTCAGGATAAAAAAAAAATCACCTTCTCCCTCTAGGTCTTTCTAAGAAAAGGTGGAATGATCTTTCAGACTAGAGGTTTGTTTGTTTTGTTTTGTTTTGTTTCTTTAGAAGCGGGGCCCCGTTTCGTTTCGAGGCAGGATGAGGTGGTTTAATCCACTTTATTTATCTTTCTCAGGGGTTTGTGTGCGAGCGCGCAGGGTAAGACTGTTAGCTTATCTTTCTAAAGCTTGTCCACTCCCCTGCGGTAAATATCTGCCTGTATATCTTAGACGTTCCATATTTCCTCTTAACAGTTTGATCGAGAGGAAGAGAGAGAGGGGGTGGGAAAAGAAATGACATTACTGGCATGTGATAATATGCATACGATGCGAACAGGAAACAGGCACGATTAGAGCATGCAGAAAGAAAAAAAAACCCAGAATAATATTAATTTTGCTACCCCAGCTTTCTAGTTGACTGGAAAGTGAAGAGAGGCTGGAAGTGATTGAGCCCTGAAAGTTTGAACTATCTGCTCAAATTCGTCCGAACTTCTCTGACACTTTCAGAGTCGCTAACCTGAAGTTTCAAAACGCTCAGCAACGTGTTGCAACTGAGGGGAAAGCTAGGCCAGCCCTCTCTTCCTATCTGAGATGTGTAATTTGTTGTTTTCTTATTTCTCTATGGAGAAATGCTCCGATTTGGAGTCGCAAGAAAACGTAGCTAAAATATGTTTCCTTTTCCTTTCTCTTCCCTCTCATCTCACTATGGGGATTGCTGGAGATATATCTGTGCCGGAGTATATTTTCTGTTTTCTCTCTCTCTCTCTCCTCCATTCTTCTGGATTGGAGGGTAGAAAGTGGGGAGAATTGTGACTTGATTGAAGGTCTGGTTTTTTTCCTCCTAGTAAAGTTGCATTGAATGCAACTGGTAGGCAAAGATATCACCCAGAAGAAATTCAAGGGTTTCGTACTTAGGATCCAAGTGTTGTTGTTTTTTTTAGCTTCCGTAAAAAGGGGAATCAGGACAGAGCAGAAGAAGCCATCCCATTCGGAGCATATCTCTAGAGTGATAGGATTCTCTCTCTATTTATATATAGGATTTGATTTGTTGATTGTTTTCAATTGGTAGCCATCCTAATTAAGTAAGGGGTAAACCTAAGAACTCCAAGCATGGATGTAGACTGGCACTTTTTAAAGACAAGCTGCTGATTCTCCTTATGACAGAGGGGTTGTTTTGGTTGTTGTTGTCTTGAAGCCAAGGAATACCCCATTGATTAGGAGAGAAAGGGAACTGGAGCTGGCAGTTGGAGGGTGATCTGGAAGGATCAAGGTTAGTGCAAAGGAAACGGGGGCGCGAAGGAGATGGAAATATTAAGTTAGGGAAGTGAAATGCAAA